TGACCGTCATCTCCCCGCATGGTAGGTGAAAGCTGTGTGTCTCCGGACGTCACCGATCTATCAACGCCGTCAGCGCCGCTGGGTTGAAAGGTGGCATGCCTCGACGACAAACACGAGCAACGGTAGCAAGGTTCGCCAGCTTCAGGAGGGGCGTGTACCTCTCGTCGTAGACCATGGTCGTAGAGGCCTCATGTGTCATTGGCCTCAGCACATTCAAAACCTGCAAAAAAAAGACAAGCATGAAAAAGTATTAGTTCATGTCACTTTATAAAGAGCATGGACTATAGAGCAAAAGATGAACAATGCACTGTTTCATACGAATTGTTGAATATACCTCTCCGTTCTCGATCCTCCGAGCCCGGTGATGCTCATCGAACCTTGGATCAAGAAGGGGGAACCGATCCATCCTACAACATAAGCAATGCCAAAGCATTAGTATAAGTTAAAGCATGTGTATGTGGTACGAAGTAATATAAAAATTAAAAAAAACAAAAGTAAACCAATATACTATTACACAAAGCAATTCAAGTAGCTAGCTTGGTGGATACCTGTTGTCTAAGTAGTTCAGGACATTTTCTCTTATTGTGGCCCGGCTTATGGCAACCAGAGCAACGGCTCTTTTGGGTGTCCTCTACAAAATGTCTCCCAACCTTACTCATGGTTGATCTACCTTTCGTGGCTCGGTCCATGTCCATCCTGAACCGCTTCCGCCGCCTAGGTCCTCTACTCTTCCAGAGTAAACCAAGATCAGCCACATACTTGGGGCCATCATAAGTAGGCCATTGACTCTCATCAAGAAATGGCTTGAACTGAGGATTCCAGGTGCTCATTAGATTCCTCAAAGAGAACTCCGCGGCCATACGGGGAGGGACCTCAGCGTCAACACGTCTAAGGCGACAGGCTGTAATCATGTGGGAGCAAGGCCTATGGTATATGATTGGTTTTCCACACATACACTTGTTCTCATTGATCACTACTTTATGTTTTTGAGCACCTCGGTCTTCACCACCAATGTTAGTTCCACCACCCTCTAGAATCTCATATCCATGGTTGATCGGATCGAAACAAGAACCCTTCTGTCGTTTAGACTTTTTCTTTGAGAAAGCTAGTTCCTGAGATGCTAAAAGTGGCCAAGCTTTGCCTGTTGTCCATAGAGACCTCGCATGCTTCTTCCTCGAAACGAACCAAGAATTCAACTTGTAGAAGGTGAATGAGGCAATAGCAGTCACAGGCAGACCACGACAACCTCTTAGAAGGCTGTTGAACATCTCTGCCATGTTACTAGTCATGAAGCCCCATCTCCAACCACCGGTGTCATATGCAAGTGACCACTTATCCTTCGACGCCATCAACTCGCTCAAGAATTGCCCCGCCATCAACATTTGTGGCTAACTTCGTGGCATCTAACTTGTCTTTGAATAATTGAACCTCTCTTGCTGCTGCAAACCTCCTCAAATAATTTGAAGTTGTCCTTTGTGTGATCACGCCTTATAAGATTCTCGAGCAAGGTGTCGGTGCACCACCGGTGATGTATTTGGCCGTAGCTGTGAATCTCTTGTTCTACGACATTGAGAATGCCAAAGATGCCTATCGGATATCACACAAACATCACGTCCCGCACCAATTACCACTTGTCTTACTAGCCCGAGAAACCAACACCAACTATCCGTGTCCTCCTTCCGAACAATCGCAAAGGCCAATGGCACAAGTTGGTCTTCGTGATCGTCCCCAATACAAATAAGCATTGTGCCTTCAAATTTCCCTATAAGAAAGGTCCCGTCAATTGAGACGACGGGTGCGCAATGCTTGAATGCTTCGATGCTCGCTCGAACGCCCAAAACGCCTTCCAAATACCTGGCTACCATTCCTTGTTTCACCCTCCTTAGGTAAATACTCGAAGTGCATCCCAGGATTTACAGTCCTCATTGTGTTCAACATTATAGGGAGGCGCTCATAAGCTTCTTCCCAATTTCCAAATATTATTTCCAGTGCACGCTGCTTTGCCCTCCATGCTTTCCCATACTTGACATAGTAATTGTACCGTTGGAAGATGATCTCAACCAACGCAGACACCGTAATGGTTGGCATATGCTTCACCACGGGGCATAACTGCCTTGCAATGAACCTAGAATTGAGCTACAGATGGTTCTCTTCTGCCTCAGCAGTGGCACAAACATGTGGTTGCTTCACTGAGGTAATCTTCCATTTGTTTGCCTTCGTCTTCCTAGCACATACTCTCCAACCACACTGTTGTTCTTCACAAGCAATAGTGTACCTCTTCTCCTTGAATGAATTGATGACCCTAAAAGGTCGGTTGTGTACAATGGAGTACTCTTGCAACCATGATTTCAATTCATCCATGGTAGCAAACAATATGCCCTTCCGTATGATGAGGCAACCGCTAACATCAGGCACAGTTGTATCACTTGGCCCACCATCAGCTACTGCCCGATGACCATGGCTAAGGTCCTCGAAATCACCAACTAGTGGATCTCTCCAAGGCAAGACCCTAGATAATATCTCTATTTCCCTAAAATTGAGACGACCAACAGGGCGATCGTCATCAGAGTCTTCAGCTATCTCCTCTACGAAGGATTCATCATCTCCAGCTATCTCTATGTCAAAACGGTTCGTAGCCCTAACATCACCAAAGTCTTCTTCACCACTAAGATCATCTTCGTCGCTAAGCTCATCCTCAATAGAAAAGTCTCCGCTAGCGTCGTCCAAATCTTCTTCTGCATCACCAATTACATAATCATCATCCTCTTCATCACTATCATGATTGCCCTCACCATCGGCAACCGGATTCTCTTCCTCATCTCCACTGTAGCCTAGTTGTGTGACAAGTATTTTTTCTTCAAACAAAGGACCATAACCTATGTGAGCGGGGGAAGATGGCCATGCTTCAAAGCTATCATTTCTTAAGCCGGACTCCTTACTTACTACTAAATCCAAAGATCGCACTTCTGAGGCCAATACAACTGCCTTGTAATCATTCCATTCAGTCTCGCTTGTAATTTTGAGCAACCGCTTGATCCGAGGACCCTTCGATGACCCAACATCTATGACACCTTCAAACTGAATATGCACGTCTCCTTCATTCCAGCCTAACTTAACCTTCACTCGCTCCACTAACTGGGTCAAAGATGGTGTTTCAGAAAAAATCAACAACTCCTCACATATGTCCAGAAATTCCAAACTATCATCTCTTGTCCTAACAATACGGCCTCCATGATGCAACCTCACTAATTTATCCATCTACAGCCATCACACAACAAGTAATGTCACATATCAATATATCATGCGAGTTTCAATCCAATAAGTAGAAACTAAAATATATCATTTCATCTTTTTCAACCCCAACAACATAATCATTTCTAGTCATACAAAATTAAAATGTAATGACCAACAAATAAATAAAATACAAACTAACCCTAATGACCAACAAATAACTAACCCTAATGACACCTACAATAAACAAAGAACCCTAATTACCAAAATAACTAGAAACCAAACTAACATAACATGTTCAGCACATAAAACAGTTAAACAACAATGCACTTAATCATCCTAAGCCATACATTTTGCAAATGCAAACACAAATATACCAAAACACCATACACCCATGATTCCACATGATTAGAGACAATGTAAGCACATCTACGCGGATAGAATGGAGGAGGGGAGGACCATTACCTCGAGGAAGCTTCGGGAGCCGAGATCGTGGCACCTAGGGTCGATTTTGGAGCATAGGGTTTGGTGGCGGCGCGGGGGAGAAGAGAAAGAGAGGAGGCCGGTGGTTTCAGAATGGAGGGAGGAAGAAGAAGGGAGCCTCGGCGCGGCCTCAAGGGACCGGATCTCGGCGTTGAGTCGGGCCGCGCCGAGGTATGTGGCTCGGCGTTAAGTGACCCCGCGCCGAGCTACTGGGCCACCGTGCGTTGTTGGGCCGCCTGGGCCGCGCGCGGGATGGTGCCAATAGCTCGGCGCGCCGTCCAGCCACGCCGAGGTTGGGCTCTTGGCGTTGGATGACACGACGCCGACGTCTGGGACCCACGCGCCACCGTGTCGCCGACGACCCCGGTCGTTCGTGACGTGGCAATACCTCGGCGTCGTGTCACTCGACGCCGACCTCCATACCTCGGCGTCATGTTCTAAGACGCCTAAAAATAGTTTATTTTCAGAAAATATTTTGATGTGGGTATTTTTGTAAAAATTGTTTTCAAAAGAGACCAAATACAAAAAAAATTTCACCGCAATGTCGAAGTCGAGTCCAGCACGTTGGGCAACGCCACGAACACGTCCTTCTTCAGCGCGCCTTACGTGAACCAGATCACCACGCCCAGCACCAGGGGTAAGGAGAGCGAGAAGGCCATGGGCTCCGCTTTCTTGGTTCAGATCACCTGCCGCTGCAAGTACAGCTAGCAAATGATTTGAAACAAGCTGTTAATTTTAATTAATTAGGAGTACATGCATGGACGACAAACTGACAAAGAAAAAAAAAACACAAAGAAAGAAAGACTTGGTCACGATTCACCTTTTCACGACCCACGCGCGTACGTACCACGAATCCATGATGTTGAGCGGCGCGGCGAGACGCTGGAGCGCGTCGCTGGCGCACATCCAGCCGTGCACGGGCACTTGGAGCCTGCCAGTGGAGAGCACCATGGTGACGAGCGCGACGAGGGGCGAAGAGGAAGACGCCCATGTTGAGCTCAGCAGCATCTTGGCCGTTATCACCCGTGTGACCTTGGAGCCAGGGAAATAAAAGGGCCCTGGTGTCTCGGCGTCCCGTGTCAAATTGGTTCCCGAACGGATTTAAACTTCCCAACTCGTCCTCCTCTTCCTCCCATCCGTCGCGTTCGACAATGCCTCGCGTCGATCCGTCGGTGCTTCGCTCGTAAGTAGCGTGCTCTTCCTCTTCCCTTTCGCTTGCTTTCGTCGCACTCCCTTCCCCTTGCTCGCCATGCCGGTTTCGATTCATTTCGGGTCTTGTAGGGGGTATGGCGACGGTGAGAGGTTGGATTACGAAAGTGGAGAGGATCGTATCTGAGGAGGTGGTCAAGGAGCAGGCCAAGGAGGTGTTGAAGGTGGCGGCGACAGAGGCGGTAAAGGAGACGGCGAAAGAAGCTATCCGGGAAGCCGTGAACTCGCGGGCCGAGAAGAAGACGGAGAAGTCGGAGCTCGATGGCATCAAACTCAGTATCAAGCAAGGAGATGACGAAGAGCCGCCGAAGGCGTCGCCGGAGACGGACCGGCTAGCAGAAGAAATTAATGCTCTGAAGGAGTTCGTGGCCTCCATCCTCGCCGAGACAACGGCGAGCGCCACGGCTAATCACCTTGCAGAAGGCCGCATCCTAGATAGCCTCACTTTGGTGGTGTTGGTCGGAGGGGCAGTTGCTGTACTCGTCGGAGGAGGGTACATGCTCCACCGGCGTCGCCGCGGAACAGCAGCGCCCGAGGGGGTGGTACGTGTGTGTTTTTTCGTTGACTGAAGTCTGCAACCGATCGGCCCTGTTCGCTTGTTGACCGTATCGTTGTTGTTTAATCATTTTTCAGAGGTACGCAGGGTACCGCGGACGAGCAGCCCAGCCAGCGGCGCCGCTAGGTTTGCATGTCCTCCTGCACGGCGGCGGCCCAGCGCGTCCTCGCGTCGACGCGGCGCTCGCAGCGAGTAGGCCAATCATCGCCGCTGCACATCCGGCGCCACCATCCTTATTCGCCGGTAAGCGCCGCCCCCGCCCCGCCCCGCTCGCAACCTCCATAACTTCCCCCTCTTTCCAAATCGGCGATTGCGTGCCGTCAGGTGTGCCCCGCCTCTCGCGAGGGTGGTTAGGGGAGAGGAAGTATAACAACCGAATCGAGGTGGAGCGGAGATGCAGATGGAAGAAATGCGAGGTAGAGCCCGAGGCAAAACTTGTGAGGTGGATTGGTCTTATGAAACCTCTGGATTGAATGGATCTAGTGAGCTTGTGGGAGCTCATCTTAAGTTTAGGATCAGTGCCAGTCTAGCTGGACTCCGTGGCAATTTTTATTGTTTTTCCGCTAGAAACGTACGATTCATCGTGTCTCTCTTAATTTGTTAGTTCTGTGGCTGTTCGTTCGATTGCGTGGCAATTTGTTGATTGTTTTTCCGCTCGAAACGTAAAATTCATCGAGTTTTCCCTAATTTGTTAGTTTCGTAGCTGTTGGCGTTACCTATCCTTGCAGTAAATAATGTGTTATGGTGTTCGGTATGTACTTGTCTATGACTAGCAATTTTGCATGACTTTTTGCATATATTTTCTTTGTCAGTTCTCTCCTTTCATGTTGTAAGAAGGTATTTGACTGTATCCTCTTTTTACTGGCAGTCTGTCTCTATGTTATGATCTATTGATCTTAGTACTGTGATCTTTTTATGGGATAGCATTGTTCCTCCTTCATCAAGTATTAGGGCACCCTTAGTGTGACCGAACAGAAGTATGGGAGTTCGCCAACATGGCTGGTGGTTCGATGACCATAGTGCTAAATATTGTCTGTTGGGTCCTCACATAAGGAAACAAAATGACAAAAAATGTGCATTCTCTCCTGTCCCACCGTCGTCCCGATGCGTTTCTTTCTTCCCACAGTGCGTTTCCTCTCCATCCGCAGCGCAGATAATTTTTCTGTTCGCCTTAGTTTGAACCATCTTCTGCAGCTGGTATTGCATCAGACATGTAGAGTTCCGCCGCTGCAATGTGGTCTGTTTGCCTATGCCAGCTATGGTTCGATTTTGCAGAGCACTGGAGCTGCTCTTACTCCTTAAACTGATCTGGTGTAAGGCTGACAAATGATCATTGGCTTTTCTGACCTGTATTTGTATGATGCACTTGCATGCACTGTTCCACTGCCTGATTGTATGATGCTGTCTCATCATCATTGTTTAACGTATCCATCCCAACTGGAATTATATTTTTGACCTTTACTGATTCAAGTTCGAGTCAGTCGAAGACTCACTTGGTGTAATTCTGCTTTAAATGGTATTCCATTTCAAATTATAAGACATTTTGGCTTTTCTAGATAAATTGCTTTAACTATGTATGTAGATATAGTGTATATCTAAGTGCAAAGCAAAAGCTATGTATCTAGAAACACCAAAATGTCTTATAATTTGGAATGAAGGGAGTAACTTTTTAAATATTTCTAATAGTTGCAGAAGCCATGGTGTTACTGATGGCATGCAGCGGATTGATGACACATGTTATTCATAGGTTGTTGAGAAAGTTGGTGCACATTAGGATGGGCCAGGTCAAATATCATGGCTTGAAGGGGATTAACGTATTAGATTATTAGAAGGTGGAGATGACAGAACTAGAGGGGTTGGGACATTGCAAATATTGTGAGAGATGTATTTCTTTGAATAAAACTTGCATGCATGGCCTGATTATAGAGTATAACAAGCTTCCTATGATATGGTCTCTATCTCTTATACTTATGTCAGAGGTGTATTTCTTTGAACAAAACTTGCATCCACAACCTAATTTTAAGTATAGCAAGCCTCCTATGATATGGTCTCAAACTTATCATCGTATCATTTTATTTTTACTGGAGTCAATCATGAACTCTTAACTTGTCTATTGTTCTTCCTCTTCCTGATTGAACCCTCCTAAACTGTTGTGTAGGCTACTGTCTGTGTCCAACCCACCAACATCTTCCTCTGCTGCAATTGTTACCTATGCTCCAGGTGTGGTTTAGGAATCTGATTTGGGCTCTAGTACCTAATTTGGCTCGCAAATATACTTGAATCCAAGTTAGTAACAGTTTTTAGAACCAGGTGTCTGGATAACAAGTAACACTGATGGGCACTATACGTATCATCTGATCTTTTGGACTAACTGATTTGATAACCAACTAGACATTTAGCAGCGTTTTGTTCCACCTACCGACTGCACCTGCCCTCAACATGCAGCAACAGAGTTTGATCTTTTTGGTCGTGAATTTGAAAAAAAATGCATGCTTTTTTGAACTGTTTTTCTTTAATATGTTCTTGTTTATAGGAATATCAAATAAAATAACTAGAATTAGTGCATTTTTTTTAGTTTATATACATTGATCTTCGATATCTCAATATGCCTGTATAATTTCTGCTGGTGTGCTCTGATACTTCTGTGAAGAATGAAACTGTCTTACTATTATTTGATTTTTTGGATGGGTGGTTTTGTGTTATACAGAGAAATGTATGCATAAAAACCGCTTGCAATCGTTTGCTGAACGAACGTACAAGAAGCAACCAATCTACAATGTTGAGTTTGAAGGCGAATCCCATCAGCCTAAGTTCAGATGCACAGTGGAAGTGGGTGGTAAACAGTTCTCATCAGCTGGTAGTTTTGATCGCAAGAAGGTAGCAGAGCAGGATGCTGCTAGAGTTGCTTATGAGATCTTGGCAGCAGTTGGAGAGGATGACATTAAAGAGGCAGTTGAGCTGATTGATCAGGTACACCTTTTGACTCCTTTTGACTCTGCTCTCTGTTCTGGTCATTCAGCATCTTTTCACTTCATGAGCAATGATTGTTCATGTATTTAATGTGTATTATGTTATACATAATTATGATGTATAACATAATATTTCAGTGCATTTGAATTTTGAACATAATCAGGTATCATAAAAAAAACATACACGTTCCGAATCTATCATGAAGAGCATTCTGGTGGACGTTGCAAAATTTTAACCGCTGAGCAGTAAATATTTTTCACCAATAGCGCCTTGAAGCCAAATTCCGTTACAAAGTTTGATCGCCATAACATGCAAGGGTTCAGATAAGGACGGCGACAACCCCCCTGGGTGCCAAATCTGCTTTGTTTTCCAGCCCACTAAAATCAGTCAGGAATTTGCTTATCCAGGAACTGTAACATTGTAAGATAGTGACAGGAGTTTTTTCGATTGAACTTGTTGCACTTATTTTTTTCCTGTTTGCTTTTGGTACATCTTTGTAACTCTGTTTTTTTTTTCATTGCATGCTAATGTCATGTTTGGCCCCAATTTAGTAGTATGCATGCAGTTGTGCATTTTTCAGTGGGAACACAGGTGCCATTGCTCTGCGAGGGGTTGAATGCCTTTGTTAAGTTTCTAGCTTGTGTGTGTATTTTTGTGTGGTCTGGTGTGGGTGCGGGTTTGAGTGACTGCTTTGTACCTCCTCTTACATACGCAAAAAAACAAAAGTAAATTTATGTTGTATGATATATTTTCCAGATGCTATTGTTCAGATAACATTTTCATTAATACTGCATGACCATTTACCAATATTTTGTTGGTTGCAAGCTCTCATCTTCAATTTTTTTTTCCTTTACCTCGTACATATAATGTATACATTCTTTTTCTTCTGTTCAGGATGTGGTTTTCTGCAAATCAATTCTCTATGAATTTGCTGTCAAGACAAAAACCACTTGGCCCTCCTACTCCGTAGTTTGTCTCATAAAGCCTTTGACCCTGTTTGCTGCAACTGTGGTATTTGATGGGAATAGCTATACTGGTGAATCTGCACCCAACAAGAAGGATGCAGAGCAGAATGCAGCTTGTTCTGTGATCAAGTCGATTTTAGGTATTTTGTGTTACCTTGATCATGATTTGAGACCTGGCACCATTGAACCTGTTTGCCTTGTTATCATATATATAACTAATAATGCAATGTGTTGTTGCAGCTAAGCATAACACTTGTATGTTGGGAATTGTTAGATCGAAGAAACAACTCATAACTGCCGTCAGATCTTCTGGAAGCACCCCAGCTACTTTTACTCCTATACATTCATATGCAGCATACGGTACATCTCCATTTTACCGCACAGGATATGTTTTTTCTATAGCTATTACAGCATGTCTACTGTCTTTGCAAGCACAAAAGGTCTTCTCAAGCTTATAGTAAGTGTTAAATGTTGCTTGCAGGCGGACCAGATCATGTAGCACCTGTGTTGCAAAATGCATCTTCCTCGTTTTCTGTTCAAGGAGGCATCAGTGCTGTACCTGCAGTTGGGACTTCTGCCAACTAATCATCGCAAATGTAAGTGGTTCAAAGAAGCGCAAGGGCAGATTTGAAGGACCAGGAGCCAATGAAACAAGGATTGCCAAGGGGGCATTAACTTCTCAGCTATCGACATCAGGGATAAGGCCATATGGCCAACCTTTTAGCATTTTATTCGCCTTGGTATCTCTGCATGTCGTGTTGGTTGCTCAGAGTATTGCACATCGTTTCAGGTTGTTTTTTTTTTTTTTTTTTTTTAAACCTGAACTTTGACTCGGTGGGGGTTTGTGTAACTGATAGTAATGCGGTTGCCTATGGAGGTGCGTTATTTCAATCTTTGCATCAATTCTTCCTGTCTAAGACTTTGTTTTGCTGCACACAAATCCACCTCAATTCACGTGGTTCCTCTTGGGTACATTTTGCCGCTGACATGTTAGAACTTGGAATGGCCTGCATCTCTGGCTGCCTACTCCTGCTAACTCAAGGCAAGCATGGACGCCATGCTTTTCTTCCACCCCTAACTGAATCTTTTAGCATTTGCATTTGTGCGTGCTTCCGCCGGATTCAGGCTAGTGCTAACAAACCTCTTTATGTTCTTCAATTTTTTCATGGCTACTTCAGAGCTACCTCGTCCATGAATATTCTACTTCCTCGAGTGACTAATTTGGAGTAATTTACGTTTGTCTGTTATAATTTGGGACATAGGAAGTACATCTCTGTATCACATCATTTATTTGATGTACTTTCTTTTTCCTGAAATTATGCTAGTCCAAGCACCGCAGCATTAGGATTTGAGAATTCCTAAGCCTGAGCTAAATTATTCGGCCACCAATCAAATTTTGGAATAGGCTTAGCTGCATGCTGCCAAACTCTTGTGATGGAAGAAATATATTCATCATCATCTACCCTAATTTGTGAACGACAAAAATCACGCAAGTGACAGCTTTTGTTTGGAATAATAGAGAAACCATTTGTTTTTGGGTTGTGAATAAAAAAAACACTGAATAAAATAAAGTATTTGATGATTTTTCTATTTTTTAATCTTTAGTTAGTTTGTTAGCTGTCATGTTAAATAAAGAGATGGTTTTATAAAAAAATCTAAAATAATTCTGTATTGGTGTTGCATTCATGCTGGTATCATAATTTTAGTTGAGTGAAAAATGAATTCATAAAATTTGGTTAAAAGGCGAATAGGTTTAGTTCTCCTTTCGAAAATAAATCTTCATTTTTTTTCAAAAACAAGTCTAGATATTATTTGAAATTTAAGTTTCAAGAATGTTTCAAAAACTTTTTATTTGTTTCTCTTAAAATGGCTTCAAAATAATTTCAAAATTTAATTTTTGAAGTCTTCCAAAATAGAGTTTAAAAATGTATTTAGAAATGTGATTGAAAATTTTGAAAATAAGTTGATTTAATAATACTTAATTTTGTTTTCAAGTTTCCAAAGTTGAAATCCCAAATAAGTTAGAAAACTAACTTTTGATGGCTTTAAAATAAAAAATGTTTCTCTCTCTCTTTCCCTCATTGTCTTCACGAAACAGCCAGCCCGGCCCCTTCTCCTTTCTTCATGTGTGCGGATGCGGACAGCAGAGTCTAAGCCTGTTCTCGTCTCCCCTCTCGGCCCAGTCGGCTACAGCGCGCAGCCTGCTCCCTCGTTCTCTCCCGCGAGCGAGCCCTCGAACAAACCAGGCCCGCACAGCTTGCTCCTGGAGGAAAAGGCCTGCTCGCCCGCGCTCTCTCTTCCATCTCACTACCGTCGTGTTGCTGCTAAAAAAAAAATCTCACTACCGTCGTGGGTCTACTTTTCCTCTCGCCGACGAGTGGGACCCAGACATCAGCGACCCAGCCATCTTCTTCCTCCCTACGCAACACGTCCGTTCTTTCCTTTCTCTCCCCTTCCCCGAATCCTAGTTTCCCATTTCCTTTGGGGTGTGTCTCCGCAGCAGGTGACTGCAGGCTTGATTAAGCGCCAGTCAACAACTTGGACCGTTGGATCCTGATTGTATGGCTTCAGAGTCATCTTCAACCTGCAGCCTTCCTCTACCAACGCATGAGGCCTCAGCTCACCCCACGCTCCCCCGCCTACCGCCAGCCTCCTCCCGTCCTCGGCGGTGTCCCCGTCGCCGGGTCCGCTTCCGCTGCCCCCCGCCGCGCTGAATGTAGAGCCAGTGCTGAAGCTGACCGCGCCCTCGTCCCCGCCTACCGCCAGCCTCCTCTTGTCCCTAGCGACATCCCCGCCCTAGGTCCGCCCCCACCGCGCTAAACTCAGAGTCAGCGCTAAAGCTCACGGCGCCCTCACCCTCGCCCTGACTCTTGCCATCTGGTTCAATTAAATTTTACATCAGGTGTTTACATGCAAAATGACAAGGTTCTTGATTTTTCTTTTCTTCATGTTGAATTAAATTTTACATTAGGGGTTTACGTGTAAATTAGTTGAACACACTTGCAATACTGCACGACTAAATGGGACCACGTGTTTATTTATCAAAATTTGGAGTGCCTTTTTGGAAAACAGCCTCGCCCAGCGTCCATGCACGGAGGAGCCACCGATGCTCCGAACTCTCTCGTGTGGAAGTTTTAATAAACATGATGCTGGTCCTGATCTCAATGGTGCTAGAAGAACCTTGACCATGTGTATAATTACCAGTGGCTGTGCTCGGCTGCAAATTTCGGGTCTCTTTAGCAGGGCTCCGGCTAAAAAAAAAACGGTTCAGAGCTCTAGTTTCTTTAAAGGAGCAGCTTCAGAAGTGGAGTTGTTGCTGTTTTGGCAAAGCTTCTCCTCGTAGACAAGGATGGTAAAATGTCTATACTACCCTTCTATTCTTTTTTTCTCCTTTTTCGTTATTTCTTATTTCTTACTATTTCTCTCTTATCTCCACCGACGGGATATTCTTCCTTCTCTTCACGCTCGTTCTCACTTATCTCCACCGACGGGATATTCTTCCTTCTCTTCACGCTCGTTCTCATCGCGAAGGCTCCGTGCGAACATAAGACCGGCGGCCGCAGGCGAACGCGCCCCAGAGGCCTCGACGCCCCTCGCGGCCCGGCTGCCGAGCACACTCGCAGGCCGCGCGCCCCCGCGCCCACTGGCCACGGCGCTCCGGCCACCCGTGCTCGGTGGCGCGTCGCCCATCCCCGGCAACCCCGCGCGCCTGGAGCTCCGGTGACCCGCGCCGAAGCGTTCGCACGGCGGCGTTCCTCGGCGACACGGCGTCCGCGCGGCTGCGACCCCGCGCTCGCACAGACCGGTGAGGGCAAAATCGCCCGATGGCCTGTGCTGGGCCCACGGCTGCTCGCGGAGCCGGAGCTGTCTCCTCTCCTCTCAGCTGACTTTCCGGGGCTCTCGACGCGGAGCGGAGCGGTTTGGCGCCGTTTGGCTGAGCTGGTCCCTTCTTTGGCTGTGGCTGTGCTCCTGGCTTGGAGACCTGTGCTACTGTCTTGGAATACCCTGCAAGCTAGCAGGGTAGCAGCAAGTGCAGCCACAGCACCGTGTAGCTCGGTCGATCCGTGCTACCTGTCAATCGCCTTGACATGTCCTCCCTTGACCATGCGCATGCAGCTGTACGTCCTAAATGATCGTGAATTATTTATTGTTGGTTGGTTTGATGTAAGAGAAAAATACTATTTTAGCTTATAATCCACAATCGTATACGAACAAACGAATGAACAGGCTGATGATTACTGCTTGTCAATGGCAACCGAGCTCAAGACATTCCTGGCACTATCTACGCATGGTCTTCAACAGGTGAAATGCAAAAATTTTAAAATAATCACGGCAACTGCTTGTATTCAATCCGACTAGCTTTTGAACTCGCGCAGCTAAAGTTGGACAAATGGCACTGGATTAAAGTTGTGACAGACCCTTCTTTCCCGTGCCCTTCTTCCTCTGCGTGACTTCCCCTACTCCACCACCGCCGGTCGCCGATCGCCCCGCCACAACGCAGTAGGGTCTCGCCGGTGCCCACCGTCGCGGCCGCGGAGCTCCGACGAGACCCTACCGCCCACGACGGCCTTCTCCTTCCCCTCTCCCCACTCCCACCTCCACCATGGCCATGCTCGCCGGCGAGCATAGCCGCGACGCCCTCGCCCCGGTCTGGTCCGACCGCCTCCACCGTTGCCAGGACCCTAACGCTGCCGTCCCCACCGTCCGGCCGACCTGCCTCCCCCGAAAACCCTTCTATGCCCGCCGGAGTTGGAGAAGAGGGGGAGAGGCCGGAGAGGGAGGCCGCCGCTACCGTCACCGGAACCCTAACCACCGCCGCCGTTGTCTCTGTCTTTGGTGAGGCACAGGCACAGGGTCACATGGGAGCAGCGGCGCGCGGAGGTGGCGTGCGGACACGGGCATCCGGACGAGTTACAACATTAACACACGACATTAGTTTTCCTTTCATCTCTATTGCTTCACTTTTGAAATGGACAAATGGTTGTGTCATTATGTGGGATGATTTAGCATTGACATGGTGTGCTAAATTGTTTGGAAACTATGAAACGTGAGCAGGTCGAGCAGGTTCATGAGGCTGCAAGTGTTGGAGCGCGAGATGGGGAATATGAGATTCAGATGCAGCACGTAGGACGCCATGGGAATGAATATGGTCTCGCGTATTGTGCTGGATTTCCTTCTGGATGACTTCCTGACATGGATGCCATTAGCATATCAGGTTTCCTTGATCTCTTGATTTTTGGATAAGTTGAATTATTACCTCGCTTGGTATTATTTCACCTCTAAGTGTTACGAACCTTTTTGGAAGTTGGTGTAAACATGAGGAAAAGAAAATAGTTTGTTTTTACTAAAAGAGGCAACAACCTTCTGCTGGTCTATTTGGTTGACTAGAAACGAGATAGTTTTAGTGCAGGTCGTATTCCAAGGAACTTCTTGGCCCCATCATTGGTGTCAATTGCAGTGTTGTGACGACAGCAAGGAACATATTATCTTTGCTTGTCGCACATTGGAGTCTGCGGCAATGGCATTCTTCCCCTCACATGGGTGGCATTATGCCTTACAAACTAAGTTTTTTGGTGTCTTAGACA